GATTATCCAATCAGTTTGAATTGATTATCCATTTTGTTTCTACTGCTTATCCATTTGGTTATCCAACTTCTTAATTCAAAATAATTTGGTTATTCATCTTCTTAAACTGGATATCCAATGTGTTTATATTGATTATCCAATGCGCTAATACTGGTTATCCAATGGATTTACATGCTTATCCAAATTATTTGTACTGGTTATCCACTGTGTTCATGCTGATTATCCAACTTGTTTGTATTGGATATCCATCCATTTGGTTTGTATGCATATCCAACTCTAATCTTTCAACGAGCATATCTCTCAATCCGTGAAGAATTTGTGAACGAATTACATATGAAATTTATAGTACTCGTCGAGATCTATCCAATGAAATCCACAGTGAACATTTTTTCGGGCTTAAAAATGACTTAATTCTGATGGGCAGAATAGAGTTGGTTATCCATCTCCTTAAACTGGATATCCAATGTGTTCATATTGATTATCCAATGTCAAAAATATGATTGGATAACAAGAACGAACAGAATGGATAATCAGGCCAAACCGGTTGGATAATCAATAGGAACACAACGGATAACCATTTTTCAAAGAAAAACGAAAAACACATTTCTTCATTTCTGCCCATAAAATTTATATGCATTTAAAGTTCAAAAAAAATATTCAACATTGATCTTATCGGATAGATCTCGTCGAGCACTATAAATTTCATATATAATTCGTGTTATAATTCTTTACGGATCAAAAGATACAAGGAACACAATGATATGAATGTAAAATAAGTTGGTTATCCATCTTCTTAAGCTAGTTATCCACTGTGTTCATTCTGATTATCCAACTTGTTTGTACTGGTTATCCAATGTGTTCATATTGATTATCCAACTTATTTGTGGTGGTTATCCAGTATTTTTTTTCCTTGCTCTTTTAATGAAAATGATTGTCAAACTTGATTATTTATGTTAATACTGTTTATCCCTAATTAGTATTATTTATCCAACCTGATATTTTTAATTATTTTTTTAAAAAATAATAAATTAAGTTGGTTATCCAACTCGTTTGTATTGGTTATCCAATCACTGGTTTGTACTGGATTATCCAATGCGCTAATGCTGGTTATCCAATGGATTTTACATGGTTATCCAAATTGTTTGAACTGGTTATCCACTGTGTTCATACTGGTTATCCAACTCGTGCATACTGGTTGTCCAACGAATTACATGGTTATCCAAATTGTTTGTACTGGTTATCCATTGTGTTCATTCTGATTATACAACTTGTTTGTACTAGATATCCAACTTAATTCTGCCCAAAGAAATTTGATCATTTTTAAACTCAAAAAAAAATATTCGAAATGGATTTTGTTGAATAGATCTTGACGAGTACTATAATTTTCATGTATAACACGTTCTCTAATTCTTTACGGATTATGAGATATGGTCATTGAAAAATTGGAGATATTTTTTAAAGGAGAGAGAAAAAAAGTCACAGGGACTAAACTTGTAAAATATAGAAAGATTGAGAAAAAAGTACAATAAGGACTAAAAATGCAAAAAATAGGAGGGGGTACTGTGCCCCCGGGTATACTGGATACAGCCTCCCTATTTTCTCTTTTGGCCTCACTACAACTTCATATATTTGGACTGTGGAATTTAAATTCGGAAATTAAGTTATGTTTTATATGTAAAAAAACACAACATGTTTACCGACAAGGGTGTAAATGTAAAATATATTGAGCATTTTATGAATTTAGGATGTGAGATGCATAATGTTGTTTTTTGTTTTTTTTTTTGGGGGGTCTTACAATTAGACGAAACAAGAAAAAAAAATGATGCTGTTATTAGAAATTGCGAAAAATCCAAGTTAATTATTGAGGAGATTTGAGTCCGTTTATCATTTTTTAAGCCAAAAAAAAAAAAGAAAAAAAAATTGGTACTGGAGCTAGTCTTCTTCCATACATATCTTTTCGATGTCGATAATGAACTATAGAACTATAGAAGAAAGTTGTTCTTTTTCCCTCTATGTTATTTCCCTCCTTTAATAGTGTATGCGGAGTCTAAGTCGTAGTTTCGTCCGTGCATAAAACAGTATGACATTCAATTACATGAACCTGTTGAGGTACAAAAATTTGCATAATCAACAAATTTACATTAGGGTGAATTGGACATGTGCCCACGAATTCCTAAAGTCAAAATCATAATGGAAAAAGTAATCAACAAAATATTATAATAGTTGTTGATTATTTTATTACTAAAACTAGAAATATGATCGAATATTCTCTATTTTGAAATGATTATTAATTATTTGATTTTATTTCTTATTTTAATACAATTTTATTTTTTTAAAAAAATGCACAATATTTTGGAATAGATGAAATATGTTTGTTGTTAGGTTGGAAATAAATGTAACTAGCACTCCTTGCCAACTATTCTTAATTTTATTATTAGGTCATAGACTCATAGTATAGTCATGATCAATCTCTGTTCACGAATCTTTAATTTAATGTAGGTATCATGGAAAATCAATTATAGTTAAAAGGACACCTCTTACGATCAGAAATGGAAATCTTAAGTATTGTGCTACAATTTTGCGATAACAATTTGATAACTACAAACAAATTTTATTTAACCACGCACCAAAAATAATTGCAAATTTGTTATCTATCCTTCCTGGTCCAGAAAAACACTTTTCTATTTTGGATGTTTCAATCCCACTTCATCAGATATGTAATTAGATTCAATCTATGATTTTTTTTTCCTCTTTACTTTAACAGTACTATTATCGCTAAAATATTCAACATTGAATTACTGATAGTCAGTAACAAGAGCTTATTTTTCAAATTCATTGTATAAACTATATTGTCCAATTTTCTTATTGAATTAGGTTGAAAGGCGTAGAGATAAGGAGAAACTCAATAACTTTAAATGTGAAATATATAAGTTTTGTTCAAAAAAAAAAAAAAAAATTAATTGTGATGAAGCTTAATGTGGAAATCTTTTTTTTCAAAAAAAAAAAAAAAGAAACTAATTTCAAACATCACGACCATTCCAAACAAATTTTTACGGTTTTATTTTATTCCCTTTAATTTCATTGCTTCCGTAATTAGGATGAGGTTCACAACGAAACAATAAAATGTGTGTGAACAGTTGTATTGTTTGAGCATCTGATCTCGAGATTTTGTTTTATTTTTCGTTTGGAACAAAACTAAATAAACTTTAATTATAATCTCATTCCCTGAATTGATTGAGTCATTGTAAGATATTATCTTAAATAAAAAGAAATCATCAGCATTAGATTTTTAATAAAAGCTTTTCTTAAATAAACCGAAGCAGATAGTTGTTCTTTCTTTCTTCCCCTCCTTTTAATGTTTGAATTTCTTACTTGAGATAAGGGTGTAAGACACTAAACACTGCCTTAAAACGACCGTGGTTCTCATCGAATGAAAGAAGCGAGTAAAACTCTACACATTATACCGGTTGGTCGACCTCAACCGACCTCAAATACCCCCAATTTAAATATAAACGATCAATAATGGCTAATAGTTTCTATATTTTCGAGTAATAAAAAAATTCCTCAAAAAAAAAAAAAATGGTGCCTTTTCAGTTTTGGACTCTCTTGTCACCTATAAATGATGTGGTCTCTCGCCTGCATATTTCCAACATCTAAGAAGGCCTTTGGTTTCACTAGCAAATACATTCTTTATTTGTTCTTCATGATATCTGCTTGAGGAAATAATTAAGCACGCATACAAGAGGGGCTGCAAAGGTAACCTTGAACAATATTTTTTTTTTTCCTTTTGATTTCATGATCTGTTGTTATTGTGTTCGTCAGTATCTAAAACTTTAATGGGTCTCGTCTTGAATCATTTGAGGTTTTCTTTTAAAGCTTTTGTTAGTGCTGAGGTTTGGTATGGTAAATCAATGGAGTTTATATAAGTGTTTAATAATTATTGTTGGAGTAGGTTACATCTTAATTTAATTAATTCCGCATCCATATGCAAGTGAGAGTTATTTGATGAGGGTTGATGTGAATTATGGTTAGATACTGTCTTTGACTACTTCAAAGGGTTTATATACAACAAATTTATCCTCAAATCTCTTTTGTTGGGGTCTAGTTCTATTAAAGAGGAAAACGGTAATTTTACAATAACAAAAAGGAAACGGTTAAAATTACATAAGGTCCTTTCTTATCATTTGCAACTTTTGACGGATGGCAATATAGGGGGATACATTCCAAGGTTTGTAAAATTGAGTGCAACCATCCCATGACAAGTTGTTAACCTGGAGTAACAAGTAAATTTTACTTAGTTCGGTATTTACTTCTTTTGCCAATTATTATTATTTTTTTTCTTTTTATTTTAGTCTAATTAGTTATGTCATTCTATCGTCATCTCTCCCAATCCGGTTACCGTTATTGAAGAAAACACTCGGTTTTTTATTTGTTTGGAATTTTTTAATGGCTTTTTCATAATTGCTTATTAATAAATGTCCAATTTCAACATTTATTTTTACATTGTCAACGCAAATTTTTACACTCTCGATACAAAAAAATACACACTGAAAAAAGATCCAAATATAGGTAAGGGTTTCGATTTATGTTTGAAACAGGTAGAATCAAAATCCATCATTCATTATTTTGATATTAAAAAATTAAAAAAAAAGATGAAATCAATTGTTTCTTCATAATAAGGACATAACTAGATTTGAAAAAATTTTATTAAAAAAATATTAAAAATTAAGAGAGAGGGAGAGAGAGAAATAGAAATTAACAATTTTGACCGTTTGTACCAGGTCAATTTCGTATTGTTTCAGGTCATGGGATGGTTGCTCTCAATTTTGAAAACCTTGGGATATAATCACTCAATTTTAAAAGTTTGGGATGAATTGGCTAACAGAGAGTAAACGTTGGGATATATCCACCAACCAGATTTGTGATAGAAGTTTCTCCCGAGGGTTAATTTTTTATTTATTTATTTATTTATTTTTTTGTTTTGATTAGATTTGGTTCAGATGAGTTCTTCTGAAGATGAAATGGGATTCAATGATGAACGGGATCTGCTTTCCAATGGAGAAGAAGAAGACTGGAATGTTCATCATCAGGAAGAAGACAACACTGACTTTGAGGCGGTGCGGAGGAAATGGAGACGTAAACTGCGGCTGAGAGAGCTTAGAGGAAGGAATCGCCGGTTTGATAATGCCCATCACGAATCATCTGATGATGATTCTCAAAGTGATGGCGAATCGAATTTTCCGATGACTGGCAACCAAAACATGGAGGCTGGTGTTGATGAGAATGAGGATGCATGGAAAGATTCAATTACGAAACTTGGGATTCCCGAAGATGGTCAAAATCTGATATATGACCTGTTCTCCAAGTACGACGAAATGTATCGGACACCTGGCGGCCGTGGTTCTACTTCCGGCGATGCTACTGCTATTGAACATCAAAACCCATTTTTACCAAACTCCGGCGTTACCCCCAAAAATGCTGCACCGCAGGAAACTGATAACGTTCCTGATCAGGGCCACAATGCGAATGAATCTCGTCAATAGGATGCTTAAACATCACCAAAGGGAATCTCTCTACATTTTGTCATATTTCTTCTGTTGATTACTCCATGGATTCATTCCTATTAACATCTGTAAAGTTTGCATGTTAGAAGCTTTTCCCAACGCTTTCTTCTTTTTATTCTTTTGGCTTTTTGATGGGGTTTACTGGAAAAACCTCAAACAAGTTGTATGACTTCTTTTTTTTTTTTTTCTTTTTTGGTTTTCTTAAGTACTCTTATAAATTAATTATGTTCTTTTTTGTTACCTGATAGTGTCATTTGATGATTCTGAGTACAATAGTCAACTTGAAACATTTGTGTATTGACATCATTAAGACATGATAAACTCTCTTATAGTCCCAAAATAACAATATTTATACAAACATGACTTCTATTTGAAATCCAAAGACCAAACTACTTATACCATGTTCTTAGAAGCAATCTCTCTATTCTCTTAGGCTCAAAATAAAAATTCATTTTTAAGAAGTTAGGGCAACCAAATTAATAAAATCCAAATTGAACCACAATTTGTTCTGTATAATCTTCTTCTTCTCTCTCAAATCAGTTGGAATACTAGAAATATCATATCCTTAACAAACCATGTCTAAGAAGGACATAGTCAATGCATGCCAACTCGAGTTCTTCGTCAAGATGATATCGGATCGTAACCCTGAAAACCACGGAGAGAAAAATGAAAATATTCCACCCTCATCATGAGCTTTTGGAAAACCCGAAACCTGATAAACCCTTACCCAATTCAGCCTAATGAAAACATACACCGAATTACCAATTGCCAATAGATCTATGAGTTCATTATCGTCAAGTGGAGAAAGGATTGTAGCCACTGAGATAGAGTTTCTTGACAAGTAAGATTGAGGGCACAATGGCATGATATATAGAAAGGTTTTATTGTAGAGCTGGTAGTAGTTCATCAAGGAACCAGCCCGAACTGAATCAATACAATGGAGAACAAATAATTAATAAAGAAGACAATGTTTTTTAATAATTTGTACTAGAAGCCCAACAATTTAAAAAATAAACTTGATCACAACTAGTAAAAATATATATCCTAATGATTACATTAATTATACTTTGGAAGTTTATTTTTTATTTATTTCTTCAGTGGGTATGATTACTATAGCTATGACAATACTAAAGTGATTAAAACAATTTCATATACTTATATTTCGCCGAGTAACAACTCAAAGATATAAAATTTTTAATATTTTTAAATTTTAAAAATTTAATTTACAAACAATTCAAAATATGTGATTAGAATATTGTAAAATGTGTTGTACATACAATTCAAAATATGTGATTAGAATAATGTAAAATTGTTTTGAATTATTTAATTAGTATGAGTTTTGAATGAAAAAAACTAAACAATGTCAAGTGTGTTTGCGCGGAAGCAAAAAATATTATTTATTTTTAAAAATTAAAATTAAAACTAATATCTCTTTTGAGAAATTAGAAAATATTAACATTTGTATTTTATGTCAACAAATATATATTTTCAAAATGAAAGTTTTTAATTTTCTAACTTTAAATATTATCATTTTATATTACTTTGAAAAAACATTGTAACGTATGTGTTGAAAAATCAAAATCACAATTATAAATTCATTTTTTTTTCAAGTACTAAAGTCATGTTTGCATTGATTATTTATATTTGTAGGATGTTGGCCAGTTCCTACTCATTAGTATTATTTATAAAAAAACAATTATGTAAAGACTGATTGTACGTTTTTTTGACACTAAGAGAATAGGAACAAATCTAGCTTGATTTCCTTCTTTTTATCTCTTGAAATGAATCACACTGGACAAGCCACAAGAAGTACTATAGCTTCAATACTTTATAGGGATTAGAATACACCGCGGAGAATCGAATGTAACCGAGTGGCTTGGTGGTAGGGCTTTCTCGCAAGTGGTCGTGAGTTCGATTCTCACCGGGTGCAAGGTAGGGTATTTAGGATGGGTTTTTGGGGGAGGGGTATAATAGATTAATGGGTAGATTAGATAGTAAAAAAAATAAAAAATAAAAACGCCCTACTACCTACAGCATCGTCTAGTATGACACATGAGTAAAACATTCATGACTCCCAAACTATCCCAATCCCTTCGGAATATGAAGATTGGATTCAATGGCCCGACGATGAGGAGCAGACAAAGGAATTTAAAGGAGAATATGTAAGTTGAACATGTACATAAATATAATGAATCGATGGTTTTCTCTTTTTGTTGTTGTATTATAGATAATAATCGACTAAATCCCAATTGTTTGGTCAATATAGTGGGATACAGGGTAGCTCCGACTTGAAATATTGATGAAAAGGCGGTAAAAACCGACATATTAGTCGGCGGATTAGTTACTATTAATTTGTCAAATCAATTAAATGTTTCAGAGAATTGAGAATAATTAAAATAAATTGGAAAATGTCAAATAGGGCCAATCCAACTTAACCAAACAGCCAAAATATGGGGGAAAAATTAAATAAAAAAGAAATTAGAAGAAATTTAGGGAAAGAAAAAAAAATGATCTATATGTTTTCTTTTGATGGGCTATAATGGTATTTTTTTTAATTAGGAAAAAAAATTATGAAGAAGTTCAATGTGGAAATCTTCAATTGACACTTATCTCAAGGATCTAAACTAATCTCAAAAGTCACGAACACTCAAAACAAATCTTTACTGTTTTACTGCATTTCCTTTTATGCCTCCTTGATTAGGATGATATTAACCACGAGACCAGAAAATGTTTGTGAACAGTTGTATTGTTTGAGCATCATAGAATCATACGTGCTCTTTATGAGGTAATTATTGTGCAAGATTTTATTTTATTTTTGGTTTGGAAAAAATCTAACTGATCTTTACTCATAATTTCATTCCCTGAATGGATTGAGTCATTTTCAGATATTCTCTTAATTAAAAAAATCATGAACATTAGATATTTAATAAATGCTTTTCTTAAATAAACTGAAATAATAGATTGTTGTTCTTTCTTTCATTCTTTCTTTCCCCGACTCGTTAAGAATTGCTTAATTGCGACAAGCGAGTAAGACTTATAAACACCGCGTTAAATGATTGTGGTTCTCAAATGAAAGTTGAGTATAATAACGTTTTCGAGGAATGTATTGGATCGTTGTTTTGTCCATGAAATATCAACAACTAACATAACCCTTTCATTGTTGGGAATAAAGCCTAGTTTTTAGGTTAGTTAACCAAGCCCACAAGTTCCATAGGTCCACGGATAAATCGCGCTCTGATACCATGTTAAAGTCACTTAACTCCAAGCTCAAAACTAATTGGCAATGAGAGGGATACCATATGACACTTGTAACCATTAAATTCCACTCAAAACTTTTGATTCATGTTCCTGATTTCAAACACTCTTACCACCTATAAAGAGCTGGGTCCCTTGCATTCCATTTTTCCAATAGGCCTTGATTCTACTTGCAAAACATTCTTTGTTCCTCATTTTCTTGTTAGGATGGGACATATGTAGCCTAACGCGCATCCCCTAGTTTTATTAGCTTTTAAAACAAAATAAGTACAAAGGCAAGTGCTTAACACTGATTCAAAAGAAGAACTTTCTCATCAAATTTTCTTTTTTGCATGATAGTTCTATTGCAAAACAAGAAATAAGAATTATCTCACAAAAATTTACCACAATCTCAGAGTAATTCTATTGCAACAATATGACATGGAAAAGAAATTTAGCCATTACTTTTCATTTGGAACATACAGGATCTAAATGCAAGGAAGAGTCCTAGAATGAAACTATAATCAAGCTATCCTTATCCTAAATATTTATTTACCAAAAGTGCTCCTTAAGTCACTTATTTCCTAACACTTTCCTTCAAGTTGGAGAGTATTCTATAGAACTTCCAACATACGTTTCATTATAGAGAACATTTACGTTTCATTATATAGAATGAATCTTTTTCCAATAGTTTAGTGAAAACATTTACGACTTGATCTGATGAGGGAACATAAATTGTCATTATTAAACCATCTTGAATCTTCTTACAGATAAAATGACAGTCGATCTTCACATGCCTTGCTTGCTCAAGAAATACCGAATTCAGAGAAAAAGGTGGTAAAAACTGACATATTAGTCGACGGATTAGCTACTATTAATTTGTCAAATCAATTAAATGTTTCAGAGAATTGAGAATAATTAAAATAAATTGAAAAATGTCAAATAGGGCCAATCCGATCCACTTAACCAAACAACCAAAATATGGGGAGGGGGGGAATTAAATAAAAAAGAATTTAGACAAAATTTAGGGGAAAGAAAACAAAAATGATCTATATGTTTTCTTTTGATGGGCTATAATGTTTTTTTTAATTAGGAAAAAAAATTATGAAGAAGTTCAATGTGGAAATCTTCAATTGACACTTATCTCAAGGATCTAAACTAATCTCAAAAGTCACTACTATATGTAAAGCTACCTTGTTTTCACAAGACAAAGATGATGGTTTTGGATTCAATATGTGCATATCTCTAAATGATAAAGACAACCAAGTTAAATCACAACATTTTCTAGCCGTTGCTCTATATTTAGCTTCCATAAAATATAATGAAACTGTTTTCTGTCATTTTGTTCTCCAAGAAATAAGTGAACTTTTCCCAGAAAAAATAAACATGTACAATAAGAATCACTATATATATATATATATATATTACTATATATATATATATATAAAGATAAATCACTCCCTAATGCAAAAAAAAAAAAAAAGATCTTGACCTGAATTACTTTTTAAAATAACGCAAAACACACATGTCAATTTCCATATGACGCCTCCGCAGAGTATACATAAACATGCTCAATAGATGTACATGGTAAGTTATATACTAAAAGTGACTGTCAAATGAATAAAACGTCCAACAACCCACCTGTACGTTGATGGATTATTTAACAAGTCTCTTTTTTTTTTTTTGTGGATACTTTGAGATTTTGCTCTACCGGGAACTCCACTAGTTTAACTCCCAAACATCCA